AGCCAGGTCAGTTTGCTGGTTCAGGACCACAGCCACTGTCCTGTGTAGGAAGAGGAATCCACTGGGGGGGGGACTTACGAATTTAACTAACTTGCAAAAGATCACGTCTTGCATAAGGGTGCGCTTCCTAGTTAAACAGACCTGGTTTTTATCCTGTGTGTGGCCTTGGTCAGCCTCCTGACCCTCTCTGTGCCTCATGTCTTCATCTGTAATTCTATTTCCATGGCAACACAGCCTTGAGGCCCCACAGCTATTGCTATAAACATACCGAGTACAGGTACCGGTCAGTGGCAGCTTTCCCTTCCTACTGTATCTCCCTGTGGCCCAAGAATAAAGCAGTTTGGCAGTCTCCAGAAAACTGGTGATCTGGGGCAGCACAAGCCCACCAGGCCCTGGGAGGGGTCGGCAGTGCTGACATGCACAAGACATGGCCAAGGGAAGGCACTGCCCCATCATGGCGCCCACCTGGAGCCCCCAACAGGAGGTCATTCCTCTCCGACTGCCCCCCACCCGTGTGACCTTCACTCCCACTGCCTTGAGTGTGTCCCAACTTGTCCAGTACTGTTCAGTCACCAATGTGGAGCTGGTGGGGGCAGGGGCTGTGCCCAAGTCACCTGTATGCTGCTGCCTGAGCTCCATCACTGTGCAGAGGCAGGAAGCCTCTCGGTCTGTCCCGCTTCGGTTTGCTCTGATCTCTGGCACTGTAGGGTGGCATCCAAGAGGGGCCGTCAAGGCCAGCTTCGGTAACAGTGGCACGCTGGCGTATAAATAGGCCAAGGAGGCCATCTTGAGGCCTTGAAAGCCCTGTCATTGATGTAGTCATCCAGTCAGCTATCTGTCCATATCCATCTGTTCATCCATCCACTCATTCAATAAACACTTCATGTGCGAGTGAGACACCCCCTCCCACAGCTGGCCCTGCAGCCCAATCCAGGTCTTCTCAGGTAGCTGTTGGGCTGCACGGGTCAGAACCATTTGGGGTCCTTAGTGGTCACATCCACATCTCTTAAGCCGTATTTTGCAGGAGGGGCCTGGGATTCTGGGTTTTCCCTGAGAGCCTCAGAGAACCTGACCTGAAGGCACTGAAGGTGCAGCCAGGAGCTGGCAAAGCAGCTGACTGTGGAAGAGGCTGTTGGAGACCCAGAGGTAGCTCCAGGGGACACAGAGGGGTCCCCTGCTGGCTACACCAAGGAGACCCAGTGTGTCAGGACCAGAGTTCCAGGATGCTGGGGGCCTGGGGCTACACCTCCTTGTAGGACAGAGTTGTGCGGCAGGGTCCCCAACACTGTGCACCCTCTGCCTTAGAGGAGCAGTTGGACCTAGGCACTTGTCTCAGAAAGGAGGGACTCAAGCAGGGGGGGTGATCCCATCCCATCCCACCCCACCCTGGCCTGGAACTTTCAGTCAGAGTTCCCTTCTTATTGTGAGGGACTGTCCTGGGTCAGTGACAGAGCCAGGCTGGAAGCACCTTGGGAGAACTGGTTGCCTGGTCCTGGGGGCAGGGATGGCTCTAATTCTTCCCAAGCACCCCACCTCTAATGTTGCTGTGCCCAGTACTGGGGCTACAGAGCTGCTAAATTGCCTGGGGGACCCTTTGCCCCTGGATAACTTTGTTCCTGCTAATGGCTTTTCTGGGGTCCTCTGATGCACCCAGGCCCCCTCCTCCCAGCTGGCCTGATTAGCAATGAGTGCAACGCCAGGAAAATTATTAATTTCCATCCCTTCAGTTTACTTCTGGGAAAGTTTGCCAATTAATTCAGCCTCATGTGAAGGCTCCTAGAATAAAAGAGAAAGGGAGGCAGCGGCCCAGGACAGCACTGGGGGGAGGAGCAGTAGGTGAGAATCCATCCTTAGGAGCCTGGAGGGTCAGTCAGGGCCAAGGCCACAGGCTGGGGTGGCCCAAAGAAGAGTTAGGAGGCTGCCCCTGCCCATCTAAGGTGCTGAGCTGCTAGAGGGGCAAGGCTGCCCCAGTCCTGCCACATAACGGGAACCTGGGAAGACAGGACAGGGTGGCGGGGGAGCACTGGTTCTGATACTGTCTGTATGTGGCTGCTGAGTGTGAAATGAGGGAGTCCAGGGCTCAAACACGGTGACCATAATAGCCAGGGTGTTTCAGGGTCTTCAAGATGTCCTACATAGCAGCCTCCAGCTCCGCCCTTGCACACTTTCTTCTCCTGTTCTTTTTATGAGGTGCTGGGATCAGTCCCAAGCCTCCCACATACTACTCAAGTGCTCTACCATTGAGCTACATACCAATCCCATCTTCCTAGTTCTTTTGTACATAGCCAGGACCCCCACCTCAGGTGCTGGCCTCTTGGTTCTCCCAGGTGACTCCCCCACCTCTCTGACCTGTGTAAGTTACTGTGCTTTGGCTTAGGAGTCACTGGGGTTGAAATGCCGCCATCACCAACCAGGTCCTTTTTATGCCCCAGGTCTATGTGTGGTTGAAGAGGGAGCTGAAAGGCTGTAGTCCCTTCCTGCCACTGGATGTAGCAAGTGGCCTGGGTACAGTGGGGGTGAATTGGAGGCCTCAGGGAGGCAGACACCGGGTGCCACAGGAGACCAAGGAGACACCTGCAGAGGCCATTTGGTCCCTCAGGCCTTAGCATTGCATATGATACCCTGGCCAGGCACTGAGAGGGGAAGGATCAGGATTCAATCCACACAAGAGGGGAATCATAAGGCCAGGTGCAAGGAGCTAGCTGCCACCTCCTCCTCTTCGGAGGCCAGATCTAAGGGGGGGTCTCCTGATGTCGGGTCTCCAGCTGCTTCTGGACCTGAGGGACCTGCCCAGCAGCCTTTTGGGGTGGGAGAAGGAGGTGAGACATTGTACCCAAGGTCCCAGGGTCCTTGAGGGACAGTCCTGCCCAGCTGGCTTCCGGATGTCTGGCTCAGGAATGCTTCCCTAAATCTGCTCAGCAGGGGCCATGTACAGAGGGCAAGGCAGCCCATAATAGTCACCTCCTGGATGGCCTCAGGCCAGGGCTGTCCATCCACATCCTCTTCATGTCCTACTACACAGGCGTCTCATCTCTGGTTCCTCCAAAGGCAGCGGCTGCAGCCCAATCCCTCCAACTATGTCCTAACAGCCTCAGGGAGTCCCAGAAGCACACAAAAACATAAATTAAAACCAACTGCATTTTAAAATCACAAATAGCGTCCATTTTATCTTTTTTTTTTTTAATTTCGTAACAATCACTAAGTATAGTCCCCACTTGTGCCACAGTCACATGGAGACTAAAGTTCAATTCCTGAGGTCCGTGCAGGCCAATGCCCTGTCCTGTGTGTCACATTCACAAATCTGGTGTAACACAGGTGTAAATAAGTTTATGAGGCAGGATGAGGGACTGGCCAGCTGGCAGCTGCCATGCAGGGCCTGTGGGCTACAGTGTAGAGCTGCCCCCTGGTGCTGACAGGTCAGGCCTGGGAGAGGGCAGGGAGGTGTAGGCCTAGGCTTGGCTGCGTAAGGACCCCTGAGAACACCTCCACATACACACGCTCTATCCAATAACTAGTAGCCCTGGACCAGCAGCACACTGCAAGCTCAGTGGGCTAGCCTGGCTTTCCAGGGCCCTTCCTTCTAGGGCACAGCCTTTTTCCTGGGCGCCTTGTCCCACTTGGGGAGCAGTCAGGAGGGGCCGGTCCTTCTTTCCACACCATGGACATGCTGGAGTCCCTAGGGGTGCATGGATCCAGGAGCTGAGGTCATGTCTGTGGTTAGCAACCAGGGCTGCTGACTTCCCTCAACAAGAGGGCCAGCAACTGTCCCCCTTTTGAGCTCACTGTTCAGCCCTACAGGTGAGGGAGGGGGCAGCGACACTGGTGAGCTAGTAGCTATGCGCAGAGGCCAACTGTGGCCTGGCTCCCCAGGGAAGGGACCAAAAGCTGAGCAGAGTCCCTTGGAGGCCCTCTCTTCCTCCCCTCTAGGCCTTTGGGCTAGCACTGACCCCCAAAGCAAACAGAAACAGGCTTCCTGGAAAGGAGACACCTTTTCCAAGTAGTAGGCAGCTCCTTGGGATGAAGGTTGGGAAAAGGTATATAAAGGAGGGAGCCGGTGGGAGGTGTCCCCAGAGTGGGCTTGGGGTGGGGTGCTGAGTCTCTTCAGCCTCCACTCATACTGGAGGCCACTGACCAACTTCTCCTCATCTCCCCAGTTGAGAGTTGTCATACAGGAGTGACCAGGGGTCTAGGGGGCCACAGGCAGAAGTGGCCAGCAAGACCTCAAAGCAGGGTTAAATTTAGTGGCTGAGTTGGAGGCTGAGTCCTCAGCTTGAGATCACCGTGGTCCCTGGAGAAGGAAGAGGAGGGGGCTTCCTCCAGAAATCCTCTGGGCTATTGTTAAGCTTTCAGAGGCCAGGGAATGTTTCCAGGAGGCTGTGACAACCAAAAATAATAATAACGCCCCTCCCCCAGCAGTAGGAATTGTAGAAAAAACAGCTGCTGCCGTTATCACCCGAGGAAAAAACAAGGTCAGGCACTGGGAAGATTTAATTTAAGGTGCACCCCCGCAGCCCGCCCGCAGACCCACACTCATTCTCCCTGCGCGGGGTTGAAGCCTATGGGGACAGCTCTGGGAGGGGATGGAGCATCCAGGCTGTCCCTGCAGCCGTGGAGGGCAGGGTGCACCAGGCCTGGCTCCAGACATGACAGGGAGCAGGGAGAAGGGGCTCGCCGAGTGGCCAGGGAAGGGAGCAGACCACGCTCAGGCTACCTTCCGCCCCAGCTTCTGGGGGGCTAAATCAGACTCCAACAAAGCACCCCAAAACGGGGGGGGGGGAAGCCTCAGTCAGGAGAATAGAGTCTGACATTAATGAGAAGTGACCGCAGAGTGGGCCCGTCCGGGCCGGGCCACCAAGCCCCTCGGGCTGGTGAGGCCTGGGTTTGGAGGGCTGGCTCCACGCGCTCCAAGGGGGTTGCCTGGAAAGTTCCTCGCGCCGACGTCCATTCCCCACGGGCCCCACTCGCGGTCTGAGCGAGGCAGGCTCCGGGTGGGGGACGCTATGGGGCTGGGGCCAGCTCTTGTGGCGGCCAAGCTCTGGGCACCGAGCCGGCGGGGAGGGCAGTTGTTTTGCACCAAGCAGCGCCGGAGACTCCCGGCGAGAGCGCGCGCGGGGCCGCTCGGAGCGCGCCCGCAGTGCCCCGCGCCGGCCAGGGCAGCCACGCGGTCGCCGGGTGGCAGAGGTTTCGAGCCCCATCGGTGCTCCGAGACCCGGGCCTGCGCTGGGGAGCTCGACTGGCCGGACCATGCGGAGCAGCGGGTCCTGGCCTTGGCCGCGAGCGGCACCGCGTGCGCACGGCCAGCGGGGCCTCCCAGCCCCCGCCTGGGTGAGCCCGACTCTCCGGCAAAAATCAGGGAACACCGGTGATTCTCGGTATTTCCCAAACTGGGGAGCTAGGGGTGAGCTGGAAAGGCGGAGCGGGGAGGGAACGGGGTCGAACCCGTTGGTTTTTTACTTTAAAAATTATATATTTTATGTCACAATTGCTTTTCGTTAAGACCACAAACATCCAATTTGGCTTGGCGTAATAAAATCAGCCGGAGCTCCCTTAAACGGAGCCATTGCGGGGAATTAAGTTGTGAAATCTAATCTATTATATCCATAAAGGAGAATGCTTTCATTGTAAATTCAGGTTATAAAGAAACTATACCTGAGCCGCCAGCCTGCCTTTCGGATTTGCTACTTGAAGGGTTATCAAATTACTTCAAAATGTTGAGCTACCCTCTCCATATCTCATGGCAACAAAAATTAAATGTGGCAACATTTCTTTTAATAGCACGAAAGGTCAGAAACAACCACAAGAAGAGGATATAATTTTTAAAAAGACCCCCCCCCGCCTTTCCTTTCCTCTGCGTTGGGAAGCTCCCTTACCATTTTCCCAATTAATTCGAGTTTTTTTTTTTTTTTTTAAATCTAAACGCTCCAAGACTTCCTTCAATTTGACTTCCACGGCGGAGGCATGTGGGGTCAGTCCCGGGTGGATCGCACGTGGGCTCGGCAGACCCCAGACACCCACGGCCAAGATCTGCATCCGCTGTGCCAGGCCTTGCTGAGCGCGGGGCGTCGCACACCTGCGGGACCAGGCGCCTCGCAGCCTGCACTCCCGCACCCCGGCCCCCAGCGCGAGGGCGCCCAGCTGGTCCCAGCAATGGCGGGGCCAGACAAAGGAGTCGCCCACGAGGGGTTAATCCGCCCCTCACCCTTCCCCGAAGTCCCTACCATACCTTCCCATGCAGCTGGGAGTAGGGGAAACGCGGCACCCTAAGATTACTTGGTTTAACAAACGGGTGGTGCTGTTCGCTGCCTTTCCTTGGATGGGGAGGGAGGGGTTGGGCCCGGGTCACTCGCTACCTCTCTGACACCTTCGTGCATTTCTTGGACTTGGGCCGGGGGGCGTCCTGAGTTGGCCAGAAGTCGGGGTCACCAGGGACTCTCAGCTCGCGCTCCCGAAGAGGGATGTTTTGGGGGTGGGACCGCAAAGAGGAGATCGATAAGTTTCTAAATTCCCAAGGAACTGGAGGACCGGGCTTTTGTCAGGCCTGCGAAAAAAGATTTATGAGGCGCCGGCGGAGTGTCGGGCCGGCTTCTCCCGGGCCGCCAGCACACCCCGTCTAATCTTTGATTTCCATCTAATTATTTTTTTCCTGCCACCTCCAACTCAGTGTCCGGAGAGGCGAACAAAGGGAGGATGGGGGATGGGACTGCCAGGCAAAGGCGAGGGGTCGGTCGGGGGATCCCCCCTCCCCCTCCAGTGAGGGCCCCGGGCTCGAGCACTGCGTGAGCCCCTGGAGGGCGAGGGTGACCGGACTGGACCCGTGGGGAGCTCTTCCTGCCGCTCGGCCTAGGTGGGCGCCACGACCCTCGGGTGGGATTCAGAACCCTAAGCTGCCCGCACCGCACCCGGCAGGGCTTCTAGGGAGGGATCTGCGGGAATGTCCTCGAGGGGCGGGAGAAGGAAAAAAAAGAAACCCACTTTCTCCTAAATTGCAATTAAGAGGACAGTGGGGAGGGGGTGTGGGGGAGGGCAAATCAGGCCTTGGCAGTGATGGCACAGGGAAACTGGACTTCTTTTCCTCCTGCACGGAAAAAGATCTGCCCAAGCGGGTAAGAAAGGAACGAACTTGTATTTTTCATGCTGGGGGGAAAAAAAATCCAAAATGGAAAATGATTTTATTGGTCACTACCCATAAGTCAACTAAAAACAGGGATAATTAGAGTGTGGGGAATTCGGGGGAACCATAAATCTGCGGCGCCTTTTCCATTGGAGTCGGGAGCCTTTATGGCTTGTTGAGTTTTATTTTGAAAGAAATGAGGTCCAGGGCTTTGATGGACGCGGGTCTGTGCCCCCGGGCGCCATGCAAGCCCGAGAGCTGAGTTAGCGCAGCAAGGACACCGCGAGACCGGGCCTCGGGAGGTGGCCACAGAAGCTTTTACTCAAAAGGAAGGCCTTCCCCGTGCCGGGACCATCTTTCCCCAGCCCAGAAAGCACGACTTGGGACAAGCCCAGGTTCCCGCCGCTGAGGAGAAAATTGGGCGATAGTGCCCAATCCAACCTGGAAAGGGAAGTCACTTTCTTTCCCATCAAACTTCGATGGAACAGGCATTTGGTGTGCGCGGAGATGAAAGGCCAGGAATTTTTATAACGAGCTCCATTCTGCTCAGGGGCTTCGAGACCTCCAGCCCTTCCTGCCCCTTTGGCCTCATCCTTTTGTTCTATATTTATTGGGTGGGAGAAAAGACACAAAATCACCACTACCCTCCCTCCAACCCCCACACAACCATCAGCTCCCTTAAGTTTTAATCTTCTGCAAAACAGCCGGGAGTATTTTTCACTCCAAAGGGGTTTTTATCCCCCGGCTGGAGGCCAATTTCCCACAGAGCTAGGACTTTTTTCCTCTTCGGAACCCGTCTTCCTAACGAAGCCACCCAAGCAAGCACCACTTAAAATTCTATTCTTCGGATTAAAAAAAAGTGGGGGAGAGTTCTGGCTCAGCCGCCTCTCATTTGGGGAGCAGAAAGAGAAAGTGAATTCTCCTTAAGGAACTCCAAAGAAAGAGCTTTCCTTTCCCTTCAGCTTTCTCCAGCCTAACCCCCCTTTGTTGTGAAAACCAGATTCCTTCCTAAGAACGGGGGAGGGGAGAACTGGAGGTCCACATTCAGAAGTGTTCTCCCAAAACTAGTCTCCCAGGAGTTCTTTTGTTTTAAGTGGGCATGGGGGATGGGAAGGAGCCCGCCGCAGGCCGGCTACCGGCCTCCCCCAAAGCCTTTCCAACAGTGCCAGCCCGGGGCTCCTGAGGCCAAGAGTCCCATCATCCAGGAAGAGAGTAACTGCCCGTCTGCAGAGGCAAGGTCGGGTCTCCCCATCCCGAGTATCCCCGACCCTCTCCCCCAGCTGAGGACCCTTGCTCAAAACAAAATCCGGGTATTCCAGGGGGTTGGGGTAAGTGCGACTGCGGAAACAAAGCCCGCTGGTCCCAGCTCCGAGGCCACAGGGTTCTCGCTTTACGTGGTGAGTTAAGCGGGACCGGGAGAAAAGGGACGCGCGTTTCCAAACAGGCCGGCTCAGAGCCTGGAGGTGGGGTGGAGGAGCACCCGGGTGGGGCTACAAAACACCAGCAGGGGCTTCCCCCGCGATCGGCTGCCTTTCCTGCACCCCCAGAAAGACACGTTGACAGCGAAAGGCTCTTTCACAGCAGCCGGGTTTTTATTCGTTCCTTCCCAAGAGTGCGCTCTGGGCGCGCGCGAGAAACAAGGAAAACGCACGTACCTGGCGGCGCTCCGAGGGCGGCCTCGCTGGCCCTCCGCTGGCGAGGGGGCCCCCAGAAGCCACTCCCCGCCCGGCTGGTCGCCCCCACGGTCTGTCCCTCCCTCCCCGGCAACGCACCCCGCCGAGCCAACTCTCCAAGAAGCAAGAGGAGCCGGAGACCCGGCCTGCCTTTCCGGGCTCCGCATCCATTTCTGGCGCCAGGGCCCGTGCCATCTCCCCGTCCGCGAAGAGGGTTCCCGCGGGCCCGGAAGGTCCGGAGGGGGTGCTGAGGTCCCGGCGCAGGGCTGTGGCTTCCGCTGCAAGTCTGGACTCCAGTACGGCCTTCTTCGTCCAAGGCTCCAGCGTTCGCAGGTTTCCAGCCGCGGTGCGGAGACCGACACGGAGCCTTCGGGGAAGAGGAGGCAGCAGCGATGGCCGCGGTCCGGGCAGGAACCCCCGGGGCGGGAGGGGTGGAGGGGCAGGCAGGCTTCCCGCGCCCGGCGGCCGCCGCCCTCCGGGGGCGCCCGACCCCACCCACGTGGAGCCGCCCCGCCCCCGCGGCCCCGCGGCCCCGCCTCCGCGAGGGATAGCGTCCCCACCCCGCCAGAGTCACCCCGGCGCACTCGCCCCTCCCTCGGGCCCTACGACACGCCCAATCACCGCCCGCCGCCGCCGCTCCCTTTGTCTGGGCCACTGGCACCAACCAATAGGATCACGCGGAGGCGCGGACGGAGCGCGGCTTAGCCAATGGGCAGGCCCGGAGGAGAGGTGGCGGGTGGGGAGGTGCTGCTGCCGTGAGGATCCGGCAGACTGGAGTACGGCCGTGCTGGGCTGCGGCGGCACGCGTGACTTCCCCGTCGAGCGGGCTCCTGGGGGGCGGCCGCCGCTGCAGGGTTCTGTGTTTCTGAATCCCCTATGGGGAAGGAGCCCCAGAGTCGGAAGGGACGTGGGAGGGGATGACATTGCGGCTTCGGGGAACTGGACGACGGCTTAGACACGGTCCGTCTCGAGGTCCCAGAGGACTTGGCTCAGATCAGCCTGTTGCGCCCGGCACGCGCCTTGCCGTGCACATTGCTACAGGCGGTGCAAAGAGAGATGCAGAAGATGCAATCCCCGCTTCCTGCCTGCTCACTCCACGGTGTTCTGATTCAAATTCACCCCGAAATCCACTGGCCGAGGTGCTTAGAGGCGCATCTCAGACCCCGCAGCGGGGGAGAGCCAGTGAGATTGGTGGCTGCTGCCCCAATGAACGGTGAGCCCCTGTCCCCTGAGCTGGGAAACGTTAAAAGGAAACGCCATGACACGGAGCCGGCGTCCAGGGACTCAGACCCCGAGGGGACCATAGCCAAGTCTGCAAGGCCCATTGCTCCACCCTCCCCCAGGAGCATTCTCACCTGGGCCCTCAGCCAAGCCCTGTGGGGCAGCGGGGGTGGAGATAAACCCAGGGTGCTAGTGGGTGTCTTCTCTAACCTAAACCTACACAGGCTGGCCAGCGTGGCTGGTCTTCAGGCAGGCTTTGGTCCTTCTCGGCCTCCTGCCTCTTCTGGAAGAGGAACAGGCAGTCATATTTGCACCAGGAGAATCCCCTGCTTGTGGAAGTCCTGGTTCCAGGGCTCAGGGAAGGTGTTTTCTACCCTGTCCTCGGTTCCCAAACCTTGACTCCAAATGAAGTCAAACCGAAATAGAAAGGGAAACAGCAATCTGGATAACTCAGTTTGAAACTAATGCATGTGGAGACTACAGATGGCCGTCCCTGTGGAATCTGGTGCTGTGTCCCTTCAGGGATGAGTTGAACCCCTGGGGTAAATGAGGTGCAGTATGGTGGAGGAGCTAGCACCAAGAGAGACAGTTTGGTCACAAACATCCCAAGACTTGCTGGGCTTGACCTGAGAATCTTCAGTCCCGATGTCCCTGACACTATTGTCATCAAAGTTGCCATCCAGTTCCTTCTTGCTAAAGACAGTAACCTATAACTCCACCTTAAGAGACCTCACTCCAATGGTGTAGGGACCTGGAGGTGGCATGTGACTGTCCCAGGAGGCTAACAAGGTAAGACAGCACCTCCCAGCCGCCTGACCTTGTCCAGCCAAGGTTGCAATCCACAGGCCTCATCCATATGGCCTGATGATGCAGCTCCCAGGGGTTAAGCATCCAAGGCCAGAGACCCAAAAAGGTTTAGAGGCCAAGAAGGGATTGAATCAGATAGCAGCCTAGAAAGTTAATAGCCTCTCCTTCTACCCTCAGTCCCTGAAAATGACAGAAGAAAGTTTAAATCCATTATAACCAGAACAGGAAAGGCGTCTGGGGAGTTGGGGCATTGCTTTACTGGAGAGAGGAAACTACAGCCCTAGCAGGGAGCGAAAATTGCTGCCCTGACCTGGATGGTGGGTCCAAGGAGAGCAGTGCTCAGAGGCAGCAGTAGTGGGACCCTGGGAGAGCTGTCAGGGTAATGGGGTGGGTGGGTGGGGTCAGCACGTCCCCTGGTGTACTCAGCTGGAGTCAGTAGACAGGGAAGAGAT